TAATTCACGCTTACTTGTCTTAATTTACTATAATGCATCCAATTATTAAATTGACTTTAATCGGGGTTTATGGTTCTAGTAGCAGAAGACACATGAATATATGAAATCAGAATCTTACGAACTCTTGGGTCGAGGCTGGACTCCTACCAATAATAAGTACGGGCTCTCAACGTGACAGAACCACGATATAGAGAGAGAAATAAATTGTAATATATAGATATGACATAGAGCTCCACCAAAGTAACGTTTTGGGAATGTTTGCTTATTCGGGGTTCTTTAACGTCCACTCAGTATACTAGTTTTCAAGTGTCTCTCCTCTATCGAAATACGGCATGCGCGACTAGACTTGAAGATGCGTCTTTCGGGTCAGCAGCCGAGCATCGAAACCACTGCACCACCGCAGCGGCCTTAATAAAGGATTTATCCTTAACAAACCGAGCTTGTTTTCACCTTTCTTCCTCGGCTCTTTTCTGCAGCTCTTGTACGTTTGGTGGTTTCACGCATGTTCATATACACATGATATTTGGACCGAGTATTACTACGTGCGTCAGTTCGGCGAATGGGAGCACAAAAGGCAACACTGCTGGCTGAGCTTATTGATTGCCTAACTCGACATTCAAAATGTCATCACGCCGCGGATCGCCTAGGAGTAACGTGCAGTATGTGCAGCACGCCGAAACCCGCAAATGATGTGCTGTCGTCACATTAGCGCTCGGCGTTTTTCATTGTCTTCACAGCGACTACAGAAGTGGCACCTTGCGCCGTCCGCATCGTTTCGAGATGCGCGCCGTTGAAACGAGCGAAAGGGCAGGCTGCCGGGTGATATGGGACGAGCGTGCGCAGTACGCGCTCCCGGACAGAGCCATGCAGCCGCCAGAAGGCGCAGCGACGCGCCTCGGCACGCGCTCCCGTAGTCTCTAAAATTATGCACTCGACTGTACATCCCAAAGATAGCATTACGAATGCATCTAACGCATGCATCTAAAACGCATGCATTACGAATACATCTAAACACGATGGTTCAGGAATTCATTAAAAAAGGTTGGGTAACAGAAAGAAACGTTTATACCGAGCTGCAAAAGGAACCACAAATGAATGCGCATGAAATAACTATTACACAGCGCAACGCGCATTCTTATATGCCTTCAGGAAAGCAAAAAAAACGTACTTTCACGAAGACCTGTCCAATTAAGATGCGGTTCAACAACCGAAAGAAATTCTGGCAGGTGGCTAATCCTCAATATATAAACAGCAACACGCTAATTAACGAAGACAGTGAAATGGTCGACGACGAGGAGTGTGCGAAAATTTTGAATCCAAAGCATTTCTTAGCGAACTTCGGCGACTTTGAGCGTATCTATCTATCTATCTATCTATCTATCTATCTATCTATCTATCTATCTATCTATCTATCTATCTATCTATCTATCTATCTATCTATCTATCTATCTATCTATCTATCTATCTATCTATCTATCTATCTATCTATCTATCTATCTATCTATCTAGATAATCTATCTATCTATCTATCTAGACTTTTATCTATCTTAACTTTTAGCTCTCCTGGCCGTTTCGATAACGGTATCGATATCAATCTTGGTATGGCATAACATGACTGTATGAAAAACATAATTGACTAGTCATAACATGAAAATCATGACATGTATATCATGAATGCCATGATATACATTCTATGGTCCTGTAGCTCTTGCGCTGGTTTCGTTCACATGGTATGTTGCAAAACTGGTAAGGTATGGCATGATTGCATGGCGAACACAAGCGACAGACCTTAGCATGAAAATCATGACATGCGCGTCATGTAAAAACATGACTACATGCCACGCTCATGATGCGCTCTGGGCCGTTTCGCTAGCGTCTCATATAATAAATTTGGTATTACAGTATGCGAACGGATGACAAAGGTATGTGACTGGTGCAAACATGATAATCATGAGAGGTGTGTGATGTAACAACATGACTACATGCTATGCTCATATTGTGCTCGCGACCGTTTCGCTAGCTTCACACGTACCAAACTCGGTATTACGTGACGCGAACGGACGACATAGGTAAATTACACATCCAAACATGATAATCACGACATGCGTGTCATGTAACAACATGACTACATGCCACACTGATGATGCGCTCATGGCCGTTTCGCTATAGCTTCACGTATACCAAATTTGGTATTACGTGGCGCCAATGAATGACGAGCGTATGTGACTGGTGCAAATATGACAATGATGAGATGCGAGTCATGTGAGAACATGACTGTGTGCCACAGTCAAGGTGCCAATACATTTCGAAGCGGCGTGGTGTGCGTGCTCGCCCGCGTTCATTCCGTCGCGTCACGCCGGCGTTGCCACGGCCAGGCACCGGTCCTGCCATATAATTGCAGGCGCGCGCCACGCGGTGTTGCTTTGACGCGAAAAGACGGAGACGCAGTGTTGTCTGGGTAACGCATCGGTGCGAAATGCACCATGTCGCATTTCGCACTGGTTGCCATCACTCCGCGCCGACGGACGCTGGTCACGCCTGGCGTCAGATTATATAGTGCTCGCTTTTTGCTAACGTAGCGTCGCTGCGCCCAGCGTGCGCACTCGTCAACGCTACATTGGGGTATATTGGGCCTTTCATGATGCGCTCGCGGCCGTTTTCCTAGCTCCACATATACCAAATTTGGTGTTACGTGACGTCAATGGATGACAAAATACATGACTGGTGGAAACATGATATTCCTGACACGCGTGTTAAGCAACAACATGACAACATACCACGCTCATAGCGTGCTCACGGCCGTTTTGCTAGCTCCGCATATACTAAATTTCGTATCACGTAACGTGAATAGATGAAGGTAAACGACACATCCAAACGTGATAATCACGACAGGAAGTCATGTACGGCATCGTTTACTTCCACCTCGTAACGTTGTACTGATTTCCAAGTGACATAACATTTCTCATTCGTGCTTCATATGTCACTGATTCCCACTGTACGTGGGATCTGCCGATTTTTTCGATGCAGATTTTGCGTCAGTTTTCACCAAGGAACCTAACCTACCATTTCCTTCTACAGCGACGAGCACACCGGATGCCATGCCAGCGATAGCTTTCCATGTCGATGATATCTTCTCTCTGATTGACAATCCCAAACTGTCATATTTAGCCTAAGTCAATAACATAAATTCAGAAGTGTTAAAGAATACCAAACATATAGGTGCTGCTTATTTATGTCTATTGTTATCTCAGTCACTTTCCACAGGCATCATACTTCATGATTTAACGGAGGGAAGGATTGTTCCAATCTCTAAATTCGGGAACACGCATTCCCCACTTTACTATCGCTCCATCTCACTTACCAGCGTACCTTGCAAAACCATGAAACATGTTATTTATACATAAATCATGAAATTTTTAGACTCGAATAATTTTTTCATCCTTCACCGCATAGACTTCGCAAAGGGCTTTCATTCGAAACCCAATCGGCAGCGTTTCTGCATGATCTTCACACAAATATCGATACTAACCTACGGCCACACGCCATGTTTTTAGACTTCGCGAAAGCGTTCGATAAGGTGCCACATCAACGATCACTACTAAAACTATCTTTGGCAAATCTACACCTCGACATCTTACAATGGATCGAAGCCTTTCTTAATAATCGTTCCCAGTTTGGTTTTATTAACAATGGCACCTCTGATTCCCTACGGGTAGCTTCCAAAGTTCGTTAAGGATCTGTATTTGGGCCTCTCCTATTTGTAATATATATGAACGATCTACCTGCGCATGTAACCTGTAATATTCGCATGTTTGCAGATGATTGCGTTATTTACAGGCCTATTACTGATACACCTCACCAAATTTCTCTTCGGGCAAATATTAACCTTCTGAAACAATGGTGTGACTGTTGGCTAATGACGTTAAACCCCGCTAAATGCAAGGTTGTGACATTTTCCCGCCTACGTAACCCTTTGTTTTATTCATGTTAAATCAATAACATATCATTGGAAGCTTCGCCCTCATACAAATACATCGGTGTTACCCAAACTGATGATTTAGCTTGGAACGCACATATTACTAACGTCGTCTCATCTTCTAACAAGGCACTTCGTTTTCCTAAACGACACCTAAAACAACTGTATTTACGATGGAGGCGGAAGTGTTGTAGGCCCGTGTGCTCAGTTTGGGTACGCGTTAAAAACCACAGGTGGTCGAAATTTCTTGAGCCCTTCACTACAGCGTCTCCCATAGTCATATGATGGTTCTGGGGCGTTAAACCCCACATATCAATCAATCAACACTTAAAACAAGCCTCAAAGCATGTCAGATTACTAGCCTATCAAACCATAATCCGCGCTAAACTCGAATACGTAAGCGCAGTGTAGAGCGCTCACCAAACATATTTAGGCAACGCTCTCGAAACCGTGCAAAACCATGCTGTAAGGTTCATACACTCTCAATATTCATATGTCAGCGTGCTGTCATTATGAAAGGACTTGGGTCCGCCAACCCTTGCTTCTCGTCGCCGTGTATTATCTATATCTCTCATAAGTTTTATGATTGTTCACTTAATCAACCACCGTACATTATTCCCGCTGGCAGAGTGTCGCATCGAACTGGACACATCAACCAAGTGGGCCACTCACGCACTCATACTACCACCTTTTCAAGTTCTTTTTTTTTTTTTTGCACAGTGACAGGTTGGAACAGCCTGCCTCACCAAATTGCCACCCTTACCAGTGCACCCGCATTCACACAAGATATATCTCATCATTTTTGAGAAATGAAATCACTAGATGTCATTTTGATAATTCCAACTGCTTGTGTATATCACAGAATCATGTACGCTGCACCCATGTCCTGTTTATTATTGCTTATCGAAATGTTATTTCTGACGATGTATAATGAACATATGTAAACCCACTCCTATGTAATACCCCTGTTGGACTTTTTAGGTAATAAAATGAAACGATTGAAATAAAACTAACTTGATTGCAGGTTGTCAACATGCTCATGGCGACAAAAGACAACTGCGCAGCCTCTGTGGGCCAGTCACTGGACCGCGTCATCGACATCCTGAAATCTACCGAACTGTACAACCCGCAACTGAGCGCCAGCATGGGGAAGGCCGAGGACCAGATTACGTCAGACCTTGTCGCGGGACTCACTTCTGTACGTTAACGTTTAGACAATATCAGTAGATGCGTGCACGCAGCCTCTCTAGCACAGTGGACTCTCCTCACCTAGTGTGCCGCAGTCGCGAAATACGGCCTCGCGAGGCCTAAGACAATGAAAGAGGTTAAAGTGTGGAGTGTGTGTGGAAGGGTGGGAGGGAGGTAGGCGGCATTCGATGAAAATTTCACCTACGTTCCAGCCAAAGTATAGGCAATTCTCATATGTCATAAATGAGTATCATATGAAGTAGCAACCTTTTGGGAAACATACCAGTACAAAGAGCTCACCAACAGTTGTATTTTATAGCATTGTGCCTGCATGGGGTGCCTCGACAAAAGAATGATTGAGACCAATTATGCCCGTGTAGCTTACAATTAAACTTTCCAAAAAAAATTTGGACCGGTATCTGCATGTTTCTCTGCAAATGTCGTCGAAAGACGATAGTCTTACGTCTGGAGAGAGTGAACAAAACGTTTATTCACCGTTCTGCGCGAGAAAATATCAGTTAATGGTATTCTGGAGGCGCTGCGTTAGAGTACATCGATGCGTGCAGCGGAGGCGAACGAGCGCATTAAAGCAAGTCACACGTGAGACATAATCGCTGTTATCTTGGAAAACGGAGCGAGCAGCGTGCGCGCTCGTCTCGAAGGTGATAAGGTGTAGAACGCAAGGCGACGGGCAGGTGCCACCACCATGTCGTCTTAGCAAAGCGTTGGAGACACACGCCTTTCCGTGCATAGCGTTGCATTGTCAGCACAGTGTGATAAATGCTCCGGTCCTTAGAATTATGTATGTATGACTTTTCCAGTAAAAACACAAACAGAGAATATTTACTTGTTGTTATTGTACCTCAGATATGCGCCACAATTGCTTTTTATTTGACAGCCGCACAAGTATGAACCCTGAAACTTGAGCAATGAGCAATATTGGTGGGTGCGGCGGATGGGGTTGAATTTTAACCGTTTTGGGTATCGTTTTGGCGGACCAACATACAAGTCAACCGATAGACAGACCCAAAATTTTTGTGTCGAAGGTGCCCAAGAAAAACTATTCTCTTTAAAAACGTGCCTAATCCGCCTATATGTGAATCGGTATAAGAACAAAGTGAAACGTGTCTTCGCACAGGTAGTTGAGCGTTTCTTGTGCATTGTTTGAGTGACAGCAACAAATCGCAAAGTGATAACCGGCACATGCCCGGCGGGCCACCAGCAAAGTGTCCACCAAACGCAGGCGGCGCGCGCGTTTGAGACCAGTGCTCTAGCAGACGCGCCTGCTTTTCACGTTGCATGCCGCAACACGAGTTTTCATTGTGACATGCAACGTGAAAAGCACGTTACTTTTTGTCGGGGAATAATACACGCCCCCCCCCCCCCCCCCCCAAAAAAAAAAGCGTGACCCCCATCAAATCATGTCGAAAATACCTATATACTGTAAGAGAATTGTAAGACACAACAAAAGGGTGGCCACTTGGGCTGGTTGGTATTGCATTTTTCAACGAAATATAGTTTCTTAGTGCGCAGGAAACGTTTCAGAGGGAAGAAAGAGCAGAGAGATAGGAGTGTGCTCTGCCCTATCTCTGCTCTTTCTTCCTTGTGAAACGTTCTCTGCGCACTAAGAAAGTATATTTCTTTCAAAGATAAGACACAACGCCTGCATACTGGACCGGCTGTTCTTATTCTGCCCCTTTTTACTTCTCTACTTCGCGCTAGCTACCCGCGCGCAAGAGATTCGGTACAGTAACTTCGGGGCCGCCTTTCATCGTCACACTCGGCCATGACAGCGGCGCGCGAAATGGTCTACTATGCCTCCAGCGGGCGGTGTTGATTGATTGATACGTGGTACGTGGGGTTTAACGTCCCAGAACCACCATATGATTATGAGAGACGCCATAGTGGAGGGCTCCGCAAATTTCGACTACCAGGGTTCTTTAATGTGCACCCATATATGAGCTCACGGGCCTACAGCATTTTCGCCTCCATCGAAATGCAGCCGCCGCAGCCGGTATTCAATCCCACGACCTGCGGGTTAGCAGCCGAGTACTTTAGCCACTAGGCCTCCGCGGCGGGGCCGGTGGGCAGTGTTGGCTACATCGGAGTGGTGGGCGCAGGACACCTGCCCAAAGGACGTCTGGTGGGTGACACTGATTGAATAACTGTGGCCAGTCTCTCCCACGCTGGAGCTTAGGCTGAAACTTTGTCACAGCCATCTTTAAAGAATGGTCTCGGGCCTGCTGTGACAATACACAGGAAGCAGGGTTATTCGATTCTGGAGGACGAAATTGGCTGTTCCTGCCTAGTCGCGAGACAGGCAGGTGCTGGTCGCGTCGTGATCCTGCGAGTAGTATAGCGCAATAAAGCCAATGCCGCCACTGACGGCGTGCGACAGCAGCGAGATGGTCTTATGAGTGATCGACAACTATGCTGATAGGGCGAGATAAGTTATGGAAGGCACGTTAACATGCGACAACCATAGGCGTGCGCACGACGAAAGCAGCCTCTCCCCTGCTCGCCCAAGAGGGGGTGCAAGTCAAACCGATACATTGACATATAGGGAGTGGGTGCTGCAACTCGGGGAGGGGGGGGGGCATAAATTCAGCCTCGTACATTACCCTAATAGGGAGGGGGCCACTTCGACGAACCTCCCCCCCCCCCCTTAAGAAGAACCCTGCGCGAGCACGCTCGTGGCGACGACCTCTTCCACTCATGCATTTGAGCTTCTTCAGAGCCCATGTATATCACTCCACCCGGAGCCGCAATTCAGGATGCAAGTTTGTGCTGCGGAAAAAGGTAAGGCCACCCATTGTAATGTGCAGCCCCGCCTCAGTGGTCTAGGGGCTAAGGCACTCGGCTGCTGACCCGCGGGTCGCGGAATCTAATCTCAGCTGCGGCGGCTGCCTCTTTGGTGGCAGCGAAAATGCTGTAGGACCGTGTACTTACATTTAAGTGCACGTTAAAGAACCCCAGGTGGTCGAAATATTCGGAGCTCTATGCACTACGGTGTCTCTCACAATAATATAGTGGTTTTGGATCTTTCAATCCCACTTACCCATAAAAAAACATGGCAGCATATCCACGGAGTTAATGATGGATAGTGGGGCGAAGCATCCATCCGTCCATTCGTTCTTGCTTCCGTCCATCCATGCGTGCGTCTGTGTGCCCGCCCATGCGTGCGTCTGTTCGTGCGTCCGTTCCCACTTTCGTCCATGCATTCGCTCCTGCGTCGGTCCATGCGTCCATCCGTCCGTTCATGCATCTGTCTGTGTGTCCGTTGGTCCACCTATTCAACACTCCAAGTACCACCATCTCGCATCTTTTCATCATATATTCGTCATATAGAAGCACCGCCATCCAGCGGACATTCTAAGGACTGAACGAGAGAAGGCACACGCACACTTTTTTACGGCTTGTGCTTCGTGTCTACTTCCCACCTTTAACCACCTCGAGTTCATTGTATATACTAGTTCACTGTATTCATGGCACTGTGGTCCAACGCTCGCTAAACCTTTCTAAAACCTAGGAGGTTACGCCCAGCGAGTATAACGTAGCAACCCTTTTTTTGTCTTCTGTGCGTTGTTGAACAATGAAAAATTCGCAGCGTGCGCGTTAACTAAAAGCCGTATTCTCATGTCTCTCATTCCCCCTTAGCAGCCATTGGCATGTACATTGAGCACTATCTTTTATTGTTCGGCAACGCACAGAAGAAATCTCTCACCGGCACCACCTTGGGGGTCAAAATGTTATACTTGTTACACACTACTACAACGGCTACGAGGGACGAACGGGTGCCGCTATAAAGAGCTTCGCCCCTAAAAATTAAGCACCATGGGGATAGAGGCTAGCCCGACGCCAGTGCGTGAGCTTTTTCGCCTGTTTCTGCCGTTCTCATGTCCTACTATGATTCTCCCCTCCTTCGTGGGCCGTCGGCGCAGGGACAGTCGTCACCCCCGGAAGCTTTTCAGGCCTGCGCGTCACGTGACGTGACGTCGACGACGTCACATCGCGCCGGCCGGCCGCCCTTCGCTGGGTGGCTGCGCCAGCCGCGAGCGCCCTTCACGCCTACCGACTCGGGCGAGGTTCCTTGACACCATGTCCGCACAATTTATCAAGGTATCCATTGATTGTATGGTTTAACGCGCCGACGCAACGCAGGCGATGAAGCGCGCCGTAGGGGAGAGCTCAGGATCAAGTTTTACTACCTGGGAATCTTTATTGTGTGCCGAAATCTCGTACACACGGGCGTTTTTGCTTTTCGCCTCCATCAGAAATGCGGCCGCCGCAGCCGGGTATCGAAACTGCGCCCTAGTGCTCAGCAGCGCTACGCCTTAGCCACTGAGCCACCGTTGCGGGGGAACTTATCAAGGTATCAAGAAATAATGAATATCGTGAATGGAATAATGCGTATTTATTTATCACAGCCAGACGCCGTCTGTACAAATATCACAGTGCACATTGTTCTCGGTCCAGGCAGACGACAGGCAACACAAGATGTTGCCCTTAATGCTGAAAATATGCCAAAAGTACAAAACACAATATCTTGCCACATAAAACTCAGAAAACAAAACAGATTGTAACAGCAAAAACATCCCCGAGCTTTGGAACAGAAAAAGCACACTTTCATTTAAATTGTAGGTTAGAGGAAAACATACCATTCGTTTATCATAGTAGCAGTAGCAACACAAGGTATCAGGTTCAAACACTTGCCAAAAAAATACAATACAAAAGAACACTGGTGACTAAATTGTGGTCCACAGCATGATAAATGACAGAAAGAAAAGTAATTGTACTGCCACAGGTAGGTGCATGTCCTAGGGAAAAAATCAAACAAAAATCTAAGAAAAAAACAAATCACAGTGCACAACATGTCTGTACACAGAGTGCACAAGGAAAGTGTACACAGCTTAGGTACCAAAACGGACTGTACAACTGCTACAGTGGGCACCGAGGCAGTTCGAGTTAAAAAAAAAAGAAAAAAGTACAGCACCTTTAAAAGCTAACAAC